ACCACTACATGCACACCAGAAATGCTAAAGTTAAAACAAAACAAAACAATTATACATGTTGATAAGAACATGGAGCAACCAAAACTCTCATACATTGCTGGTGAGAATGTAAAATGATACAACCACTTTGGAGAAAGGTCTGGCGATTTTTTTATAAGACCAAACCAATACCAGCCGTATGATCTATCTGTTCCCCTCATCTACCCGATAGAAATAATAACATTTATACTCCATTTGTATGAGGCTCTGAAATAAAGAGAACTAACCTGTGATGGGAAAACAACTAGAACAGTTGTTGCCTCTAAGGGGTTGGAGAGGAGACAGACTGAGAAGGGGCATAAGGAAACTTCCCAAAGTGAAGGTAATATCCTGATCCATATGGGGGTTTGGGTAACAAAGATGAATCATTTGTTAAAAGTTGCTGAGTTGCAGCTATTATGAAAAACAGTATGTAGGTTCCTCAAAAAATTAAAACCAGAACTGTTCTATATAATCTAGCAATATCCCACTTCTAGGTATATATCCAGAGGAAATAAAGCCACTGTTGTGAAGAGGTATCTGCACTCCCATGTTCACAGCAGCATTACTCACAGTAGCTGACACATGGAAACATCTTAAGTGTTCACGGACAGCTGAACAGGTAAAGAAAATAAAAAGAAGGAAACCTTGCCATTTGCAACAACATGGATGGACCCCGAGGGCATCATGCTAAGTGAAACAGACAACCTTTACATGCTCTCACTTCTACATGGAAACCAGAAATGGCAACATAGTAACAGAGAGTAGAACAGGGCTTCCCCGGAGGGTGGGGGAAATGGGGGGAACATAGTCAAAGGGAACAAGTTCTGTTAAGAGATGAATAAATTCTGAAGACCTAATGTATAGCATATGACCACGGTTACTAATAATGTACGGTATACTTGAAATCTGCTAAGAAAAGTAAATTTCAAGTGTTCTTACCACCCACACAAAAAGGTAACTCTGAGGTGATAAATACTTTGGTCTGATTGTGGTAAGCATCTCACAGTGTTTGTCTTTCAAAACATCCTCTTGTACACTTCAAATATGTACAATTTTTGTCAATTATAACTCAGTAAAGCTGAGGGAAAAGTCACTGAATGGTAGTCTTCACACTGCGCATTTCACTGTGTGTAGATTTTATAACAAAAAACAACTCTATTAACACATACTGAATTCTAAGTATTTAGGGGTAAAAGTGGGTTGTTATCTATAACTTGTTCAGAAATGCATCAAAGAAATTAGGTGGACTGGTAAGTAGAAAAAGGAAGGACAGATGTCCAGGTGTATAACAAAGCAACTATAAGAAGTTAACGGTAGAATCTAGGTGGTGGGTATTCACTGCACAGCTCTTCCAACCCCCCTGAATGTTCCAGCATTTTCTCAATAAAATGTTGGGGGAAAATGCCTGACTGGCTCTCTTAACCAAGAGTTACACTAGATGGATACTATATAGTTATAGAGAGAGGAGTAAACATTATGTAACATATGTATATATAAATATAAAAACAACTACACACTTTCTATCTTATTACTACCCCTGAAGGAATGTTTGATATTGCCAAAATACTAGTCCTTCAGTTTTTAATAACTTAATCATTAAATATTTATAAATTGTTGTCTATGATACACAAGGCACTCTGCCATGTGCCTTGGAAAATAATAACTCACATTTTAAACACCTAATATGTGCCAACTATTTAACCCATTTACATGCGATAATTAACCTAAGAATCTTAAGCATGTGATAGCAAACTGTTTCACAGTTCTGAAATTACAATAATTTTTAATACTTGTGTATAAATAACAGTTTTTCTAATATGGATACTGTAAGTATATTTTTATCCCTGAAAGCCTAAAAACTATCTGGCTTGGTGATCAAGTACTTGAGAGCAAACTATAGCACATGAAAGAAAGGATGCTCCTTTAAGGCTTAGCATCTTAGGGGAATTACTCTGATTTTTCTTAGTTGTGGATACATTTTACGAACTGGAGAAAAAACAAGGTGTGAGCGTTTTATTTCATCTAATTCTCTTTGGGAAAAGAGACAGTTGACTATCAGTATTTTCGTGGACTTCAATCAACCTTTTGAATAACAGGGTGGCCGAGATTATACATTTTGTGGTCACTCTTTCTTTGCTAGTGCCGAGAAAAAGACCAGGATTTCTTCCTACTTTAAAAACATAATCTAGGGGCGCCTGGGAGGCTAGTCGGTTAAGAATCTGCCTTTGCCTCAGATCATGATCTCGGGGTCCTGAGATTGAGCCCCGCATAAGGCTCCCTGCTCAGCGGGGAGTCTGCTTCCCCCTCTCCCTCTCTGCCCCACTGTGCTTTCTCTCGAATAAATAAATGAAATCTTAAAAAAAAAAAATCTAAATTTTATGCTGTTGATCTATAGAGAAAAAGACCTTAGAACTAGCAAATATTCAGGGGGTAATCAGGAAGCTCCTCTCACCCGAGTCATGTTTACCAGAAGGCAGGTGAATGGAAATAGAAGGTTAAGGTGAAGAGTTTGTGACCAACACCGCAGGCTGCTCAAGAGACCTCTCTGAGGCCATATCACACACACGGCTGTAGGAAGTGGCCTAACGCACCACTCATGGTTCACAGAAAAGAATGTTGCGATGCCTTGCCCAGAGAGGATTTTGAGAGACAGGAGAGGCACTCCGGGACAGGGTGATGTTTCACAACACACGCTGTGTGGCTGTCCACGGAGGCAGACGGTGAGGGATGCTGCCGATGGCCTGTCTGCCAGCATCCTGCTTCTGTATAAATCACTGGCGATTAAAGCAGGTGTCTGGAGATCGAGAGCAAAGTAACAAGGAACAGACTGGAGAGTCAGGCCTACGTACAATCTCAAGACTATGACATACCAGCTGAGTAATTTGGACTACACCTGTCTACCAATCAGAGCCTGCTCTCCCTCAGGAGTTTAATGAGGATAAAACCACCCACCTCACAGGGCTGTTGGGAGCATGAAAGGAGATCACATATATTATAAAAAATTCAGTTCGGTGTCGAGTGTATAGTAACCACTTTGTTAAGTATTAGCCTGTCTCTCTCTCTCTCTCTCCCCTTTTCCTTTCATATGCAAACCCTTGGTTGGCTTTATGAATGCCAGAGAAAACTTTTATTGCAAAACCTCTCCTGGTCACAACCAACTTTGGGAAAGCGGAAATAACCAAGAGTTCAGAACCCTCCAGATCTCGCCCCAGGCCATGCGACATTCTCGTGCGTGCATGAAGAGATGACAGCGCACCACCGTTTGTTTTTTCTGAGCCACTCGGGTATGACATATGGGTAAAAGTTGATTTGGGGAGTATGCTTCAACTCTTAACAATTCTATCTGTCTAGTCATCCTGAAAAAACTGCCAAATCTAGCACCAGCCATTCGTATGAACAATCTCCTAAATATTTTTGGCAGTTTGAGTAAGGAGGCAAAACACAGGAAATTCAAATTCTCTTTAGCTAGGAAAATCACTCAGTTTAGTGACCAGAAATCACTCCCATTCTGCAGACGCCAGCATCCAGGGACAAGCTGTCATGCACCTAGGAGGGAGCAAGCAAGTCTTTCTTAACGAAGACTCTGCAATTTCAAAACAACTTTTGACTACGAAAAATTTCAAACACACATAAATGTTTAACAAATCCCCACGTATCCATGACCCGGTTTCAGTGACTGTCAGTGATTCAATTTTAAAGCTGGAACTAAGAGATATTATCTGTTTATCTGAGACACAAGTAAAATATTCTGAGAGACATGCCCCTTCAGAATGGCATTCCCCTTGGGGGTGGGGGACGGTTCAGAAGTCCTTACAATGAAAACCTCAAAGTCACAGTAGGAATTACCCAAATTCTATTATTTAAAAAAAAAAAAAAATCATGGTTTCCCTCTTCCTAGATAACCTCAGAGATGGACAGACCTTCCCAGTGTGCAGATTTTTTACTTTACAGAACCCACTGAATCAATTTGCTGCGAGTAACAATGACAGGAATCCTGAAGTTCTGTAAATTTTTCCAAGGACCTCTGGAAGACAGTGAGCACAATGAAAGGGAACACGGTGGAAAAGAATTAGGGAAGGCCAAATGGGCACGAGAGCCACTGGACAAAAATGAAAATAAAGTGTTTGAGGGGTACATTTACAGAGGCTTTAACTATGTTCTAGCCCAGAATCCCAGGACGCCAAGCCTCTCCTGTAACTTACAGGACAGCATCCTCACAGGGTCTTGGAGAACCACATCACCCACTAACCCAGCTGCCCTTTTATCACTTCTCCAGGGTCATCCTGAAGCCTTCATAAAGGCGTCCTCACAGCTGCTGTGCTTCTGCCCCTTCACCCTCTCGCGATTAAGACAAGCAAGTGTGGCGTATGACCGAGTACCACTTGCTGATCCTGGTGTGGCAAAGCCCGCTATTCTTCTCAGGAGGCAAAACAGAACTAGCTGCAACTAGATACAAATGTAACCAAAAGAAAGCAGACCGCCCCCATCCCCCGACCCCTTAGAGAGCCTCAAATTATATGAAAACACACGGTGACTCATGTGCATGGGCTTGGCTTTTCACAGTCTGGGTTCCCCAGCAGACATCTAGAAAGTTCCAATTAAGCAGGCTAGATGAGGAGGGGTGACATCACCAAGCTGGGCAGCGAGCTTCAGGCCTAAACACATTAATCAGAAATGACTCTATGGTTAGTTTATGCAGATGACGTGTTATAGTCTGAGCTGCGGTCCTTTCCTGCCCACTGAAAAGTATTCACCTTCATCTGATTTAATTCACACCAAAGGAACTCCCATTTCTTCAGGCTTCAAAACCTGCAATGTAACCAGGCACAACTCTACAGAAGATAAAGTGGTCGATGCCTTTTTCTAAGCCCCAGAGCCCTGGAGCTCCCTTCTCTGAAAGGGAGGATGTACTCTTCTCTAGGATCACTGAGATATGCTCAGTATGCCTAGCAGGAGTCGCATACTGAGGGGGACAGTACCTTGGGGAAGATGATGCTGTCCACTTCTTCGCTGGGTGAGTGAAAGAGGTCAGAGTCACTGCCGGATTCTCTTTTGAGGACACCTTGTTTTGAGGCACATTCTCTGCCCAGTCCAACATCCAGGAAGTTCTCACATTCTGAAAAAGAAAATGTATTCAACCAATAAGTTAAAAAAAAAAAAAATTTTACTTTCTTTTCATTCCAGCAATTCGCCTTGTAAGTCAACCAACTAACCTCCCCCCTCTTCCAGTATTAAGCAGCTGTAAAGGACACAGATTACTAGCTTTTAACTCTGGTATTCCAATTCTAGGGTGATTGTTACTATAGAACCACCATGAGTTTGCCATGTAAACCAAAGGCACAAAAAGATAAAATGGTAATTCAGAACCATAATTCCATCTATATTTAGGCATTTAAATGGTAATCTTTTCCTCTTGGGAGCTGGAAAATATTTCCCTTTGCTACTAAAATCAGAAGTCCTTTATTAGGAAACTATGAGATAGAGTTTATGGCCAAATTTCTAAGACTTAAGTTCTTTCTGGAAACTTATTACCTAGCCAAATATTAGGATTAAAAAAGGAGGAGAAGCATATCTAATAAAAATATCAGTGTATCACACTTACGGGTTCTATTGAATAATAACAGAAATATAATTGTTTGACTTCTACCTTAAGCAGATCTGACATTGGGGGAATAATGCACTAAAGAAAAATATATCATCTAGAATCTGTCTTCAGTTCAATAACTAGCATAGGGACTGTGGTGAATCAGACAGAGGGGGCCTTGACAGAAATGTTACGCTGTAGATCAAGGAATTCTAAAGACTTAGTACATTGAAATTAGCAAGGTATTTAACTCACTTTCTCCTATTAATTCTGTAAACAAAAGGGACATATGACTTGGCAGCAATAGAATTAAAAATATTTGTGTGTGGTAAAACCAAGAGCCCAAAGAAAGTCAATTAGTAGGTAGATATCAACTTCCTTCAAGAAGTCTGGAGAGTGAAGCATTTCCATTCCAGTTAACATTTTTATATGGGATACAGACAGACATATATCAACTCTTCAAGTGATACTAAGTGACAAGGGACACAACAGATCAGCCGATTACCTAGCAGTTCATGAGAACTCCACCCGGAGGTTTTGGTTGAAAGCAGATTCAAGAGGAGCTGACGATACAAGGTGACAGCAAAACGAAAAACACCGATGGTTTTAGACTCTATTAATAGTGTACCCAGGTCCAAAATAGGGACAGTCCTGCCATTACGTGAGAGCTAGACCTCACTGACAGGATGATGTTTGTCCCTGGGTAACATTTAAAGTAAAACACTGATAAACGGAAATGCACGCATGGTGATGAGGTCACAACAGTGGAAACACTTGAGAGCCACGAGGCTTGCACAGGAGCTTGAAGAAAATGTGTCTAAGGGCAGCTGCAGACTTGCTCTGTACTGTTCCAGAGGCAGAACTAAAAGCCCACTGAGTGGAAGCCACAGAGCTTTGCTATAACTAGGCTTCTGGGCAATGGGATGGGAGTTTCATAAAGTAACCACTGTCACTTCACCAGAAGGGGTGGAGCAAAGGCTGAGTGACTTTGTCAAGAGGTTTCAGAAAAGATGTATACACGGAAGGGGAAGTAGAGATCAGACAACCCCCAATGTCTCTTTAAATTCTCAGGGTCTATGTTTGGACAATAATCGTGTGTGTGTGTGCGTGTGTGCGTGCACTGAGGGTTGAGAAGACGAAGTTTCATTGCACTGGTATATAGATCATTAATTGCTTGTCCATAAAATTACCTCTTCGTGTCAGGTATTTGACTAGGTACTAGGGATTATCCAAGTAAAAAGAGATAGTCTGAGTATGTGCGTGGGGTAGTTTGCAACCTTACAGCAGAAACGGACATATTAAGAGACCATTTCAACACAGAAGTACACAAAGGATGCCACCGAGAGCAAGGAGGGGCCCACAGATTAATCTGAAAATGTTTCAATTAAAGAAAAAAAAAATGACCCTAGTCCATTTCAGTCTTGGTTGGTCCTAATTATTTCTGAGTGTTTCATTCAATGGGAATAGCCCTGCCTTCAAAAGACTGGAAATCATGGGTATTCCACACTACCCCCCCCGCCCCCAGTTTCAGAGAGTATGTACTAACCTAGGTGGAGTCGGTGGGTGTGACCTTTCTACTTCTCCCCCTTTCCCCACTTGGAAAATTCAAAGACTCCACTTCACGGCTGAGGGGAAAACAGGGGGCTGGCCAAGAAAAGAAAGGGCTGTCACAGCAACTATGCTGAGCTGCTGGCTGTCCAGCTGGCAGGCAAAGAGACCACGTCCCAATTCCAGACTGGAAAACAAACCAACTCAAGACGCTCTAATGGAAAATTCACAGGGAAGATCCAGATCCAGCCCTGGTAGGAACAGTTCACCCAGAAAATAAATCCGGGCCAGCACTACAAGGGACCACAAATCAAGCTGTGGGGAGACTCTGCTGTGTGATACAATCCTGACTGTTGAGTTGGGGGGGGGGAGTGGGGGGAGAAGAGTAAGCAAACAGGGAACAAGGGTGAGAAAAAGACCCATAAGCCATCATGAAACCCCACAAATGAGGGGGGCCCTAAAGGCAAAGCTAATCCCCACCTTGTGTCACAGGACTTCCTACCTGCCCTCTTCCTAATGAATGAGGTGGAGCAACACATGCAGGTAGAAGCAAGAACAATGAGCACTGACTGGTTTAAGAGTCGATCCTGTCTGGCTTAAATCTCCCTCCGCCTACTTTTAGTAGAAAGATCCCGGGCAGGAAGTCATTTAACCCCTAAGCCACACCAGTGAAATGGGACTGATTAGTATCTCCCTAAAATAGTTGCAGTGACGGTTAGAAAGAATTTTATGCAAATAGTAACCAGAACTCTGCCCCTCGCACACAGCAGGTGTGTGATGAACACACCTAATGCAGTTAAGGCTTCGTTATTAACCTATACTGTGCAAGCAAGTATCTGGAAAGGACATTACCTTGATGTGGGCCAGTCCTGTTTTATGACTCATATAAATCTGCCTATAAACTTTTGTGTCCTGAGACATTAATTTCCTTAAAAGCTAGCAAAATGTGTCATTTTAAGATGCTCTCTAGTCATTTGGGTCTAAAATGATATATATGCAAACAAATTACAGCAGGCAAAGATAAGAAAAACTACCAGCAGCGGGCCCACTGGTATTTGCTGAACCATGCTAATCATAATGTATGTGTATTTATTCGCACTTATATAAATTTGTATTTATCCACAATGGAGGAATATCCAAAGTGATTTTAAAACATGTCATCTCACTTGGTTTTACACTATTGCTCTCTCTTGAGCTGTGTTCGTAACATAAATGAAACCTTCAAGATCCAAAGGGCCTAGAATTCACCAAAAAATTTACTAAAATCAAAAACTCAGGTCTGAAGCTCCAAAGCATAATCCAGATCTTGGATGCCATTACAAGGATTGTTAAAAAGACCCATTCTAAAAACACCAAAGTAGTTATGCTTGGGATTGGAGTATGGAGGGGGGCGTTGTCAACAAAATTCAAGAGGATGTCCTGGGGAAAATGCTCAGGGGTTCAAAATTCATTTCTTTAAATGAGTAAATTAAACTCCAACATGTGGAGAAACTTCCACATTTAAGCTTTACAAGGCAGACAGTTTCACTGCTTGGATGGTTGGGAGTAATTATACTTTCAGAAAACACCCTGAACAGCTCAAGGAACCAAGATATGGTAAGTAGTATACTTTTAAGTAGAAGATTCTAGGGGGCTGGGTGGTGTATAAGGGTCAGCTAAGTCTGGAAACAGGGTCAATCTTACAACATGCAGAGACCCTAAACAAAACTATAGCATAATATCCTCCAGGTGAGACAAAACTAGGGAAGAACACTTTTCATATCTGTCTCCAACACTTCCTTCGGAGTGAAGAATTGAGAGTCAATAGGAAACCTCTTGGGAGATACAGGATTTGGACAGTTTGCCTTTCAATTTAATACTACTGCAGGACATCCACAGCTGCAGTGTTACTATAAAGACCAGTCAGCGAGCACTCAAGTAAACTTTAAAGCAGGTCAGTAAAACCTGTAAAGGTAAACGGAGGTGTTGCTGAGTCAGGTCAACTCAAGAGCCCAGGATACAAATGACCAGCACTCACAGGGAGGCCACAACAACAGGCACAGGGCCTGACAGCACCATGTCATTCAGGCAACACTCCCACCGAGGAGAGCTAGTAACCCTTGAGAGACGGAAGACAACAGAGTGCACAGACATTAGGGAACTCTCCTACATCACTGTGAATTAGTGGATAAACCTGGGTAAAAAGCTGGGCATCTTAACTACCCACTAGTCATGCGCTGTGTCATTAACAAGCCAGGTCTCAGCAGCTGACCCTTACCTGTTGTTACTAAGACCTCATGGGTGTTTAAGGAAAGGCTCAATTGCTGACAATACTTTCAAAGTTTATGGTTCTCAATCCTGGCCGTGCAGTGGAGTCACCAAAGGAGCTTTCAAAGATTCTGAGGCCGAGCTCACACCCCAGGCCCGATTAAATCACAACCTCTGGGAACAGGACCCAGGCAGCAGTATATTGCCAGATAATTTCAAAGTGCAGCCAAAATGGAGAGCCACAGGTTTGATTCTTAACAACAAACATTTATAGTTTTACCAGACTGAGAAAGCACGATCCTATGTATGTGCACACAGCACAGATGCCTTCACAGAAGTGATGAGGCAGAAAGCCACATGGGAAGACTCACTACTAACCAGAGATTTAGGTTCATTATATGACACTACCCATTCTCAGTTGAGACAAAATGCCTACGAACCCAAATCACACATACCCCCCTCTGACTTACTGCATGGCATAGTAAGGAAGGACAGATCTCTGAAAGTGGTCTGTAATCAGAGGGGGACTGCAGTGCAAAAAATTGACACTTTAGACGCAGTGATTCGAGCAACTGGAAGCTGGAAGACCCCTGCTCACCTGGGCTCTGTGCGGGGGCCAACAGAGACGCTGTATCAGGGCACGGCTTTATTGTACACCAGCTTTCTCGGTTTATCTGAAAGAAAAGAAAAACAGATCGACTTTCAGACAGCGAAGTAAGTGGGATGATTTTATAGCTGCGGCAAGTTTATCTATCGTACCAACACTCCTACCTACTGTAAAGGGAGTAAAATTATGACAAGAAAAAGTCGTTCTCACAACACAATCAAGGCACGCTATGCTCAATTAAGGCTCCAATAAGAGCAACAGGAAAAAGATACACAAAGAGAAAATCTGGTGCAGGCCAAGGGTGAAATTAAAAAAAAAAAAGTTAACAAATGCAATGCATCAAAGATTAAAATACATATTTGATATCTTTATTTGAAAGTTAAAAAAAATACAAAAATAGTTTCTATGTATTCAAGAGTTACTGTCCGCTTGGGATCGGAATAAGCATTCTATGTAACTAATTATTAATTTAATGCCCACAATAGCTACAAGCAGTTTGTATTACCTGTATCCAAAGAATAACCTCAGCAGGGTTGCTGAGGTAGTAAGTGACAGGACTGGCGATGTAAAACAAGTCTATGGGAATCTAATGCATATTAAGAAGAAAACATTCCCCTAAAATATTTTTTTTTTAATTTAGCCTTTACAGCTCTCAGTCATCTTATTAACATCATAACCATCTACTTTCATTAAATTTAAAGTAATATAATTTTTTAAATTACCCTGAGAGATTTCAACAGTCCTCTCCCCCTAACTGATAAAACAAGTAGACAGACAGAAAACTTGAAAAATATTACCAACCACTTTGCTCTACCCAACACATACAGAGCAATTCACCCAACAATAGCAGAATACACATTCTTTTCGAGTACACATGGAACGTTCACCAAAGCAGACCATATTCTGTGGCATAAAAGAAGTATCAAATTTGAGAATTAAAATCATACTACATATGTGCTCTGACCACAACAGTATTAAAATCAGAAAACAAAGTAAGAAGTTACCTGGAAAAACCGCAAACATTTAAAAAACAAAACAAAACAAAACAAAAAAAAACACACAAAAACTTATTAAAAAATCCATGAATCAAAGAAGAAATCTTCAGGAATCATTGTATATAGTTAAACATCAGAAAATATCTCAAACTCAAAAATTCAAACATCACATATAAAAATGTGATGTTTTATCTGAAAGAAAAGAAAAAAAAGATCGACTTTGTTTAGATTCCTCTAAACAAACTGTTTAGAGGAAACAGTGTCTAGAGGAAAATTTATAACATTAAATGCCTATATTAGAAAAGAGAGGTCTCAAATCAATGATCTAAGCTTCTACCTTAAGAAACCAGAAAAGAGGGCAGACTAACCCAAAGCAAATAGGATAAAGAAAACAAAGAACAGGTATCAATGAAATAGAAAACAGAAAAATAAAATCGGGGACACCTGGGTGGCTCAGTCAGTTTAGTGTCTGCCTTTGGCTCAGGTCATGATCCCAGGATCCTGGGATCTAGTCCCACATCGGTCTTCCTGCTCAGCGGAGAGCCTGCTTCTCCCTCTGCTTGCACCCCCTTCTGACAAATAAAGTCTTAAAAAAAAAAAAAAAGAGAAGAGAAAAAGAAAATCGATGAAACCAAAAGCTGATTCCCTGAATAGATCAATGATATCAGTAAAACTCTACCCAGACTGACCAAGAACGAAAGTTAAAAACTATAAGTATCAGGAATTAAAAGAAGTCATTATTACAGATCCTACAGACATTGGAAGGATAACAAAGAGATATTATGAACAACATTACTGTAACAGATTCAACAAGTTAGATTAAATGGAAACATTTCATGGAAGACACAAACTACCAAATTTGCTCAAGAAGATAATCTGAATACCCTTATTCTATTAAAGACATTGAATTCAGTTAAAAACCTTCCTATAAGGAAACCTACAGGCCCAGAAGGCTTCAGTGGTGAATGCTACCAAACATTTAAGGAAGAAATTATACCAATTCTACACAAACTCTTACACAAAACAGAAGATGAAGGAACAACATACAGCTCATCTTTATGAGTCCAGCATCACCCGGACACCAAACCTAGACATAGACATTATAAGAAAAGTATAAATCAATATCCCTCAGGAACTTAGATGCAAAATCCTGAACAAAAATTAAGATACTGAATCCAGCAACACAGAAAAAAAATCAAGTTGTAATGGCCATCCCAGGAATGTTGAAAAATCAATTTATTAACAGACCAAAAACTCCACAAATTAATTACCAAGAAATGTAGGAAAGTGTTGGGCAAAATTCAACATCTACTCATGATAAAACTCATAGAACACTGGAAACAGAAATGAAATTCCTCAGTCTGATAAATGGTATCTATTAAAAAAACACACACACACAAAACCTACAGTTAACATCATACTTAATAGCTAGAGACTAAATGCTTTTACTCTGAGATCAAGAACAAGGCAAGAATGTCCATGCTCATCACTTTTATTCAACACTGTATAGGAGTTTCTTCAATGCAGAAAAAGAAATAAAATGCATAGGTCTGGAAAGGAAGAAGTAAAACTTTCTTTATTCATAGACAGCATGATTGCCTATGTAGAAAATCCTAAGTAATCTACAAAAATGCTGCTATAATCAGTTTAGCAAAGCTGCAAGATACAAAGTCAATATATAAAAAAGCAGCACTAGTTCTATATATTAGCAGTGAATAATTAAAATGTAAAACTAAAAACAAAAGTAATACCATTTACAATAGCATCAATAAATATAAAATAATTAAGAAAATCTGAGCAAGACTAAAAACTACAAAACACTGATGAGGAAAATTAAAGCATGCTTAGAGACATCATGTTTATACATCAGAAAATTCAGTCCTGTTAAGTTGTGAATTCTCCCCAAATGATCACTACTTGATTCTAAGATTTACTATAAAAGGTACAGTCATCAACCCAGTGTGGTACTGGCACAAAGACAAACATTTAGATCAATGGAATAAGAGAGAATCCACAAGAGACCTTCAGAGACATGTCCTAGTGATATCTGACATAGATGCCAAGTGGTATTCCAACCAGGAAAAGAACAGTCTTCTGAACAAATAATCCTCCAACAAGCGGATGTCCACATGCAAACAAAAAACAAATCTCCTTCAAATCTCAAATCTTCTATCAACTACAAAAATGAACTAAAAATATACCTAAATATTGAAGTTAAAACTATAAAACTTCTAGAAGAAAACAGAGGGAAATATTTTTTGTCATCTTGGGTCAGGCAAAGATTTCATAGCACACATGAAAAACCTGAAAAAAATCAACCACATCAAAATTAAATTTTTTTGCTCCTCAAAGGCATGGTTAGGAAAATGAAAAGGCAAACCACAGACTAGGAGAAAATACTTACACAGGATCTATCTGCTAAAGGACTGGTAATATAAACTATATTAAAATATAAATTATTAAAATACATAAATATTAAAATATAAGTAATGAAAAACCTCTTAAAATGCCATAAGACAAACAACACGCTTTTAAAATGGGCACAAGACTTGAGAAATTATTTCATCAAATATATATGACTGGCAAAGAACACAGGAGAAGGTGTCCAATATCATTAATTATCAGGAAAGAGCAAATTGAAACCACAAAGAGCTAACGGTTCATATCAGAATGGTTAAAATTAAAGAGTGATAATACCAAGTGTTGACAAAGATGTGGAGCAACTGAGCACTGATACATTACCCGAAGAATGCAAAACAGTACAGTCACTTTAGACAACAGGTTAGCAATTTCTTATAATGTCACAGACACTTAATACAACACAACAATCCTACTGATAGGTATTTACCCAAGAAAAACAAATATATCTTTGCACAAAGAATTTTACTGGAGGGCACCTGGGTGGCTCAGATGGTTAAGCGTCTGCCTTCGGCTCAGGTCATGATCCCAGGGTCCTGGGATTGAGCCCCGCATCGGGCTCCCTGCTCCTTGGGAGCCTGCTTCTCCCTCTGCCTCTCTCTCTCTCTCTCTGTCTCTCATGAATAAATAAATAAAATCTTAAAAAAAAAAAAAAAAAAGAATTTTACTGGAATTTTCATAGCGGCTTAACTCATGATAGCCCCTAACTAGAAACAACCCAATCTGCTGTCAATAGGTAAATGGATAAACAAATAGTGGTACATTCATACAATGCAACAGACTCACAACAAGAAGGAATGAACCACTGATACAAACACGATGAGTCTCAAGATCATCATGTTAAAAGAAAAAAAAGCCAGACAAAAAATATCACCTAGTGTATGGTTCCATTTTTATGGTATTTTAGAAAAGGCAAAAGTAGTGTGAGCAAGCGTATTAGTGATTCAACTGGAGGAACAGAATGACTGCAAGGGGACAAGAGGGAACTTTGGGGGTGATGGTGATATTCCTACCATGATTGCAGAAGTTATTACACAATTTAAACATTTGTCAAAACTCATCAAATTGTGAACTTAAATTGATTTTATTGCATATAAGTTATATTCCAATAGAGCTGAAAAAAATCCCCTAAATATAAGTGTAATATATGTTTTTAGTTTTTATAACTCCCCCAAACACTTTAACATTATAATCCTCTAGTTTCATTAAAATTTTAGGAACCTTTGCAAAAATTCTTTATCTTAGAATATTTTTCATCGCCTTCTCAATTCCATGGCCAGTGAGTAAACTGAACATTCTTGGCCTTCAATATGTAAGGGACTAACTGGCTATACTTTGCATATCATTTTAGGCATTTGCATTTTATATAAAGTAAGTTAAACAGTTTGCAAAATATATAATATATACAGATAATATAAAATGTGAATAATATATTAATAGTATATAATATAAATAACTTTAAAATGTGTTGTTTCAATCAAAATTAAAATATTAAAAATATTTATAAAAAATAACACAATAATGAAATTAAGATTAAATCAAATCTTTTTTTAAAAGATTAATTTATTTGAGAGAGAGAGAGTGAGCATGAGTGGGCATAGGGGCAGAGGGAGAAGGAGAGAGAGAATCTCAAGCAGACTCCACACTGAGTGTG